GGACATTTATCTCCATTATTTCTTCAAATATTTCCTTTTCTCTAATTTTACAGTTATCTCATTCTGAGACTCCTATTTGCAAGTTTTAGCATTTGTACTTCTATACTCTTGGCTTTTTTTTTCATAATTCCTATTTCTTTAATTTTTCCTCTAGCTTTTTGAGAGAGTTCCTAAATTTGATCTTATTTTTTTTAAAACCAATATTGTTACTGTCTTATTCTGTGTATTGTGTTCTTTATTTCAACTACTATATTTTTTAATGTTTCCATATACTTTCTTTCTTTTTTATCTTTTCTTAGTCTGGTTTCATGTTACTACTATCTTCCTTTATCTCCGTAAATATGTGTATTATGTTTGATTTAAATTCTTGGTCTGACAATTCTCAAAATAATGCTTTAGACAGTGTTTTTATTTTTTTATTTTTTTATTAGTGTTCAATTTGCCGACATATAGCATAACACCCAGTGCTCATCCCATCAAGTGCCCCCCTCAGTGCCCGTCACCCAGTCACCCCCACCCCCCGCCCTCCTCCCCTTCTACCACCCCGTGTTCGTTTCCCAGAGTTAGGAGTCTCTCATGTTGTAGACAGTGTTTTTAGATTGTGTTTTCTTTTATAGAAAATGTTATTCTCTGATCTCTAATTACTTGGACTGTAGGCTTATGGTTCTCTGGCAATACTGGTGCCTTAAGAGTGCTGTTTTTCTGGGAAGCATAGAAATCCCTGGTCTACTTCAGGGCACATGCGTTTAAGTAGAAGGGAAGACAAGGCAAAATCCAGGGCACCAGGGGCCCACTGATGATTACCCTGTTTGCTATAGTCCCTTTGGATTACTCCCTCCCTCAGTGATCTCTTGGTGAGAAGTCCACCTATCAGTTCCTATGGAGAAATGCTTCAGGAAGAGTTGTTTCACCAGGTGTCACCCCCAGCCCTGAGCTTACTGTTGGAGGATGGAGAAAATGCCCCAAGTCTCCCATCAGCTCTAGCCCTATTTTAGCCACAGCCTCCGGCAGGGGTTTACCTTGCCTGACATTATCATGCATACATAGTCACCCAAGAGTTGGGCTATTGCTAGTAGAATTCTGCAATGAAGGGGGAAATGCTAACTATCCTAAGACAATTCTGGCTATAGGCAAGAATGGAACCTAAACATTTTTCTTCAACTTACCTTCTGACTGCAGTGTTTTCTGCTCCTGTGCCCTAGGCTGCATCCACTATCCCCTCCCACACCTATTCAAGACAGTCTTGAATTTCTGCATGGATATCTCCTGCAATTATAATTGCTGTTAATATTTGGAATCTGTTTTGCATTTATAGTTTCTCCAAGGTTGACTCTGGTTGAGAGTTAGCAGGTTATGCTAATTTGCTATATTGAAAATGTAGTTTAAAGTCAATTGGGTTAAAACCCATTTGCTCTCATACAAATCTTGAATAATTGCAGTTATCCCTTTGTGGGATTTTTTTGCAGTCATTCTTTAAAAACAAAAACCACAAATAACAGGGAGATTGTTTTTTATGCTTTTGTCTTTGATGTAGGAAATAGTTTGCACAAAAACTCAGTGAAGCTTAGCAAGCGTAGAAAAACATTTATTTACCAGTCTATGAAACACTCCTTCCTCTATTTCCTCGCTTTTATGAAGATAAATGTAGGTCTTTTTCAATTATTATAACTTTCTATACATGCTAGATAGATAATCAGAAAACCAGGTTTACCGTCTCATGCTGCCACTTCCTAGCTGTTAAATTTTGGACAGATTCTTTAAACTTCTAGGACTGGAATATCTTACCTACAGGTTGAAAGAGTTGGAGTTCATGACCAATTTTGTCCCTTTTTTTCTTTTTTTAAAGCTTTATTGAGGTATAATTTACAACTGAAGTTGTAAGATATTTAAAGTGTACAACATGATTTAATATATGTATACACTATGAAAGAATTCCCTCCATTGAGTTAGTTAACACATCCATCATCTCACATATTTACTTTTGTGTGTGAGAACATTTAAGTTCTACTTTCTTCCCAAATTACAAATATATAATACAGTGTTAACAAGTATAGTCACCCTATTACCCATTAGACTCTCAGATTTTATCTTATAACTGAAAGTCTGTACCCATTACCAACCTGTCTCTATTTTCCTTACCTCTCAGCAACCGTCAATTCACTCAGTTTGAGTTTGCTTTTCTTTCTTTCTTTCTTTTTTTTTTTAAATTCCACAGTAAGTGATACCATGTAGTAGTTGGCTTTCTCTTTTTGGCTTACTTCACTTAGCATAACGCCCTCCAGTTTATCCATGTTGTGGCAAATGGCAGGGTTTCCTTCTTTTTAAAGGCTGAATTCTCTCTCTCTCTCTCTCTCATCTTTATTATCCATCCATTCATCTGTTGACAGACACTGAAGTTATTTCCATACCTTGGCTATTGTAAATAACGCTGCAGTGAACATGAAATTGCAGATATCTTTTCAAGATTATTATTTTATTTCCTTTGGATATATATCTCAGAAGTGGAATGGCTGGACCATATGGCAGTTCTTTTATTTTTTTGAGGAAATTCCATACTGATTTCCATAGTGACTGTACCAGTTTACATTTCCACCAACAGTGCGCGTGCTGGTTACCTTTTCTCCACATCCTTGCCAGCATTTGTTATTGCTTGTGTTTTTGTTAATAGCTATTCTTTTTTTTTTTGTTGTTAATAGCTATTCTAACAGCCCTGAGATGACATCTCATTGTGGTTTTGATTTGCATTTCCTTAAGGATTAGTGATGCTGAACATCTTTTCATGAACATGTGGGCCATTTTTATGTTTCCTCTGGAAAATGTTTATTCAGGTTCTTTGCCCATTTAAAAAATTAGGTTATTTGTTTCTCTGCTATTGGATTTTATGAGTTTCTTATGTATTTTGGATATTAACCCCTTATTGGGTAGGTGATTTGCCAGTATTTTATTATGTTCTATACTTTGTCTTTTTTTTTTTTATACTTTGTCTTTTTATTTGCTGACAATTTCTTTTGCTATGCAGAAACTTTTTAGTTTGTGTACTACTACTTGTTTATTTTTACTTTCTTTGCCTTTGTTTTTGGTATTAAATCCAGAAAAAATCATTGTGATGATCTGTTTCCTTCTGGAAGTACTTTGGTTTCAGGTCTTAAATTCAAATCTTTAATCCATTTTGAGTTTCTTTTTGTGTATGGTATAAGAGAGAGAATCAGTTTTATTTTTCTGCCTATGCTATGCATTGTTCTACCATTTATTGATTTCGTATTCTTGGCTCCTTTTTCATAAGTTAATTGACCACCTACATATGTGTTTTATTTTGGGCTCTCTATTTTCCATTAGGTTCCTTTCTATTTTGTGATTTTATGACAATGATTATATGGAGTTTTCAATAATTTGTTTTATTCTTAAAAAAGCCTTACTGGTGTGAAATCCTTCTCTACCATTGATGAATAGTCTCATAAAATTCTGCAGGTAAACACTAAATAGATGGTATGAAAAAAAAGCAAATTATTAGCCTCTAGGATTAGTGGTCGATATGCATGTTCACTTTAAAGTAGTAGCTACAACTTCAGGTGTCTATGGAATGAATTGTAGAGAGTTTGAAAAAAAAGTATAAATATATTTGCAAAATATATTGCTGCTAGGCTACATTTTAAATAATTAAATCAGATTCTCTAGATGTGCGTACAAGGCCTAGATATTTTTTAAAAGCTAAATTTTTCTAATTTGCAGTGAAAGTTGAGAGTAATCAAAGCTAATAGGCTAAAGGTAATTGAAGGGGCAAAGGTGAAAGGGATTCCATTTGAACAGTTCAGTTTGAACAGTTTTGAAAAACTTCAAAATATAAATGACAATTTTGAAGTAATATGTAACAAGTTTAATAATTCAATTGAATTCTGGAAATATATAATTTGAAAAAATTTAAGAAGAAAATTATTGTGAAGGCACAAATTAAAACTCTTTTTAAGTTCAAGTTTGTGAAATACAGTTTTATGGATATTGGATATAATGTGTTTTGCTTCTCTTTGGACTATTTGGGAGTCAAATGAAAATGCTGTTAAGGTTCAGGCATTTTCTCATTTGATTTCTGAAATTGTTTTATTTCTAAAGTATGCATGAAAGGAAAGCTTTGGAAGACAAAATGATTACTTCACTAAAACATTATATAAGAGGTCTTCGTAATCGAAGGGGAAGGAATAATTGATAAGTGGTGTATTAGTTTCTTAGCCCAAACAGGTCGTCACAAACGTGGTGTCTTAGAACGAGAAAAATTTATTCTCTTACAGTTCTGGAGGGCAGGTGTCAGCGGAGCTATTGTCCCACCAAAGGCTCTGTGGGAGAACTCCTCCTTGCTTCTTTTAGTTTATGGTGGTTCCTGGCATTTCTTGGCTTGTGGCAGCATAATTCCGATCTCAACCTCTATCTTCACACGGCCTTCTTTTTATGTATGTCTAGGTGTTTTCTTTATAAGGATGCTAACTGAATTTAGGGCCCACCCGAATCCAGTATGACCTCATCTGGATCCTTACCCTAATTACATTGGTGTTAAAAACTACCTATGATGAATCTATTAAATACAGAGACCAAATTTTTATAGTAAATAGTGTGTGTGTGTGTGTGTGTGTGTGTGTGTAGTATTTGTTATGAGAGGAATTCTTTAATACAAATTAGCTAAATAAACTTAATAAAGTATCAATAAATTAATAAGCAAACACAAATAAATTAATAAAATAAATAATAAATACAAATTAATAAAGAATTAATTCTTTAATTAGGATTTCTCCGGAATGTGAAACCAAAAACCCTACATGATATTGACTATAATTGCATCTATGTATGAATTATTAGTGATTATGTATATAGACTTTGTATATATATACGTACATACAACTTCGTCTGCCTCATGGTTTTACTCTCCAGAAGAATCATAAGGAGGCTCATATCTGCAAACACATCTGTAGGCTTCATTTATTTTCCAAGAGGTCTCTTTAAATCTTTTTTTAAAAAATATGGAATACTTCATGAATTTACATGTCATCCTTGTGCTAGGGGCCATGCTAATTTTCTCTGTATCATTCCAGTTTTCATATATGTGCTGCCAAAGCAAGCACTTAATTTTTTTTTTTTAGGTTTGTTTATTTTTTTAGAGAGAGCATGAGTGGGAGGGGCAGATGGGAAAGCAGAGAATCTCAAGCTGACTCCAGACCAAGCACAGAGCCCCATGCAGGGCTCAATCTTATGACCTCAAGATCATGACCTGAACCCAAACCAAGAGTCAGAGGCTTAATTGCACCATGCAGGCACCCCAAAATCCTTTTATATTCACACCACACACACACACATTATACCACAGACACCACACAAACATCTTGTACCAGAAAGGCAGACACACACACACACACACACACACACACACACACACACACAGATACTCACCCCTATACACACTTATACCACATTACACATACACTCAACATAGATATTTAAACAAATAAGGATAGTGCAGTGTGATTCATGATTGTGAGAAATGTTCACGCTGGGAATATAGAGAAAGAAGTAATGAATGATTTAGGGAAAGTAATATCAGGAAAGGCTTCAATGAGGAGGTGAGTACAAAGTAATTTTGAACTATGGAGATAACATTTGCACTCTAGGAAAAGCTGTTGGAACCTAGGAATTAGGGCAACATCAAGATAAGTCACTCTGAGATATGATTGAAATGTGTGGCTAAGGAGACTTAGTCATAAGATGCTAATGACCTAATTGACTGATTTTATGTCTTAAAATTCTGCCACAAACAGGATGAGAAAATAAATAGCTATTTACTACCATAATATGATATAAAATTTAGGAGCTACAGGGCTATGAAGAAAAGAAAGATTAGTTTAGTGTGTAATATTCTGAAAGGGAAGTGAAATTTGAAACTCAGTATTGAAGATGAAGAAGAGTTGGATAGATGGGGAAGGAGAGAGGAGGTTGATGACAGTAGTACCATGAGTACCCTGGAAAGGAAAGAATGTCAAGAAGGAAGAAATGATTAAGGCCTTGGAACCCAAGTTAGATAAGATTGAAAGGAGACTGGGACACCTGGCTGGCTCAGTCTGTAGAGTATGCAACTCTCAATCTCAGGGTCATGAGTTCAAGTCCGGTGTTGGGCATGGAGCCTACTTAGAAAAAAGAAAAGAGAAAAACCACTAGAAGATCCTCAGTGATATTCCAAGATATATCACTGGTGTGATATCAGGCATGGATTCTCAGACTAAGTAGATTTGTATTGGGTTAGGGAGTGAACGGCATTTTGCTTTGAGTAGAAATTACTGCCCAGAGACTGAGCATGCCTTTGCCAGAAATTTATTTAAACACAAGTTCACTGCAGAAATTCCACAAGCCAATAGCATATGGGATAATATCTCTTAATAAGCTTATAAAGAAAGAACATACTCCAAAGAAATGATGGATTTCTTACACTGTTGTTCCAGGCAAGTGGAGACAGAAGGAAAAAAGTCAAAATTTAGCCGAAGTGTACACCTTAATAGGAGTCGATGCTCGGGAGTGAGGGCTTAGCCCGGGGACAGCTGCCAGCTGCCAGCACAAGAATAAAAACCTCTGTTGCTAGAAAACCCCATGCTGGTATGGACAGGGCCCAGGGCTTTTTTGCAAGGCCACTTCAGTTTGCACCATTGCTGGTAAGAATCGCCTTTACTGTGGAAGGAGCTATTTAGCCCCAAAGTCTTTGGAGAGCTATTTAGGTCAGCAGAGTCCTCTTGTCCACACAGAACATGCAAACCTTGGGTGTTTATAGTTTCAAATGTCCCCTTGCCATAGTTGTTTCTTCATGTTTTTTGGAAAGCCCCAGTGGGGCACCTTGGCAGCTGACCTACTGAGTTGCTGTTGGTGAGAACCATCTTTATCATAATCAAATGGATTAACACAACTTAGGTGATAAATGTGGATTTGAAATCATATCGAACCAATACACAGCAGATAGCAAATAAATATGTGAAGAGATACTGTGTGTCCTGCATTTGCTGTCTTACATTGTTTAGTAAGGAGCCAGTTTTAAGTGCTAGATGAAGGAATTATTAATAACTGAAGACTTAAAGAAACAGTTGATAGGGAATTCAAGCTGTTTGGAGGTACTGGTGTGTCTGTATCAGTGACTTTCAAAGTTTTCTGACTCTATCCTCAGTAAAAAATAGATTTTATATTGTGATCAATACACATAGGCATAAACACACATAACTCAGAATTTTCAAGAATCAATATTACTTTGCCTACTACAAGGAAAACACTTATTTTTAATTTAATTTTTAATTTTTCTAAATTTCATTTTTAATAATGAAAATCAGGACTTCTGTTATGCATTGCACTTCAGCTTTGGACTGTCAGTTTGAATTTTGGCTGTGAGAAGGATTATATGTTTTAAAAATGTTTATATTTAATATATTGTAAATATATTATAAATATTTCTAAAACTTTTCTAATTTAACTTACAATTTACTCATTAAAATTTCTAGATTTAATAATTTTATGTAAAATAAAATAGCCATCTTTTGGAAGACTTTTGATTTATGGCCATTTAATCCAGTTGAAAAGATTAAACTTGCCTGAACAATAACTCTCACTTACAAGTTTAATTATGTATTATGAAACATTTAAATTGCATTTAATAAACTTAATATGTTTTATTTTCCTTTTAAGTATTTCAAGTGCGTGACTAGGCAAGCAATGACTTTATTAAGCAACACTCCTTTGAAGTACTTAATCCTTTTAAATGTAATTAATTAAACCTAGAAATGAAGAAAATTTCAGGTTCTTCTAAACATGTTCAGGATGTGAAAAAAAAATTACTCCTAAACTTAGTCTGGAGCAAGGTAGTCAACTAACCTTTTTGGAAAGTAATTAACATTTCTGATTAAATGTTTAAGCTATTTGACTAGTAGACTTAAGAGCCTCTTCTGGGAAACTCTCCCGATTGTCAGTCATGGAAGTACCCTAACAACTTTTAACCAGTCTTACAAGGAGTTTAGTGATCTTTGATTAGGTCTTCTATACATGGTCTTGCAATGAATATCTAACCACTCTTTTTTTTTTAAATTTTAATCTTATGAAATATGACTAACAAGATATACGAATCTCTGAATTTGTTCTTTTAGAAAGCCCTTCCTCAGAGCAAGTTTGAAACAAAATTTAAAACAAAATGATTTGAAACATGCTTATGTTGAAGGATAATTTTTTAAAAGAGGCAATATCATGGATCCTGTACAGATACAAAATAAATATGTGTCAAGTGTTTTGTTTAACTAATAATAAGGAAAGCAGCAATATGTAAAACAGAAATCAGAGGCAAGTAGGAACTGTGAAATGAATTTGCTAATAGCTACAAATAGGTTCTTCTTTAGAATGGGGATGATGGTGGTGAAATTGTACTTCTGTGGGACAAAATTCATTTGCATCTCTATGGATAAGAATCATTTACATGCTCCCATTTTTAAATAATTTTCAGAGTTGTTTAACAGCTTAGAGACGCAGACTCCCAGATAACCTGGAGGCATACACTAGAAATGCTTAGTGTTCCTTTGAAAGGACACTCATTAATCTTCCTTTGCCCATTTTAATGTCTTTCACAATTTTCCCCATAATTTCCCCGCCTGATGATCATAATAATATCAAAGATCATTCTTACGCACACACACACGCACACACACACACAACTGGTCTCATTTGATTTAGCCTAATTTTTTACATAAGTGCAGTCAAATGTTAATATATGTCTCCTTGAATTGGCTTCACAAATCTAGAGTCATACCTCATATATCCAGAAAGTGGAACCTTATGATAAGACAATATTCCAAATAACTACAGTAACATTTCCCACATTAATTTGCTCAGTTCTATATATTCTTGTTCCACTAGATCTTAGATTAGGAATCTGCTTTCATGAAGCCTTCCGTTTCATGGAAAAAAAATCCTGAAAAATCAGTCCACTGGTAGTTGTCCAAACAATGTCAACTCAGAAACTCATACCCCAAAGTCAATTATTTGAACTGTCAATGGTTTAAAGTAACAGAGTCTTTTCTTCAATGAGGCTCTTATTGAAGAAGGCCTATAGCTTTGTTCTCTCGATTTTCCCCCTTAATTAATCAGAGGTGTAATAAAGCCAACATAAAGCACAGAAAAGTGTTTTAATAAGAAATATGTCTATCACATTTAAAGTATTAAAAATTCAACTTCCTTACTTTTTCAGAATTTTAGAAACATTTAATTTATGTGTCTTTATCTCCATAAGTTAATCAGAATAGATATCCTTTAAGAGACCTCATAATTAATTTATTAATATGCTTCAGAAATAGGAAAATACTTGGCACTCTCTCAATGAAGAATGAAATCTTTTAAAGTTAAATTCTTATACCTTTCAATTTAAAAATCAGGAATCTGAAATCAATTATACATTTTCTATTAGAAACACAAAACTAATCTGTTACCTTCTCCAACGTGCCAATTTTTTTAAACATTGCAAGAACTTTACGTTGAAAGGTATAAGAATTCAAAAAGAGTATGCCAAATAGAAAAATAGTATATTTTAGTAATATACAATATAATAATGGTACTACAAAATACAAAAAAGTATTCGTGATTAAGAGTATTAATACTCTTAATCTGGGTTGATTTACTCCTTCATTTCTTTACTCTAAAACTATCGTGGGAATTAAGAAGATATTTCCCACTGAAGGAACAATTTTGTCATCTCACACAAGTTGAGGTTGGTTATATCAACAATTCACTTCCATGCTATTGTTACTATTTCACGCCAGGCGTTGGGCTGGGTATGGGATCTGCTTTTGTACACGTGTGGGTGTCTCTTCCCTAACAACAGATGATGCTGTGGTTTCTGTGAATATAGGGTCCTTTAAGTCCATGCATCTTAGAGGGCTCTGGTTTTACAACCTATTATTTTTAGGATGAAATTACACTCTTGTTAAATTCTTTCTTTTGATTTGACAAGGGAAAAGTCTGTACCCCTACCAAGAACACAGTAAACTTTTTTATATCTTGATGAAATTCTGCATTTCTTGAACTATGCTACAATATTTTAATGTATCTAAGTTAC